GATTTCCCAATTGCTGGCCTCATTAATTCCCATGGCAGCCTGAGAACTCTGGGCCTGTGTCAGGGATGCCCAGCAGAGCACTGAGCCTGTCCCTTCCCTCTTTGCCTGGGCAGGTGCCCAAGGCCCTGGGCTGCTGCCTGTGGCTTTGCCTCCTGGCAGGAAGAGGTAGCCTCATGCAAAATGTGATTGCTGCTGAACAGTAAGACCTCTGCCCCAAGTGCTGATGGCTCCTGTTTTTTTTTCCCCTGGAAAAACTTCCTTGGATACCTTCAAGTGAAATCTCAGAACAGGTTTCTATTTTCATAAATCTTCTCCACTACTTTTGCAGAGATGTGAGAAGAGAGTTGAGCTTTTTCTGGTTTTGACCTATGAATATCTGCTAGGCTACATATAGTTCAGAAATGTTAACAAATACCAAAGCAAGGAGAACACATGGCGTGGCTTTTGCTCATTTACTCACAGAGGGCTGAAAGTGATGGGGCTTTTCAGGCAGACTGACACAGAAATAACAGGTTCCTTGTTCAACACCTGGGAAGTCAATCAGCCATAATGTGAAAATGCTGGAGTACATGCTCAGTCCATGCTGTGAGTTTATTACACTGTTTCCTACAATCCTTAACAAAAGGCAGACACATTTACACATAGCCAATTTAACGAGGATTTCTTGAAAGGTACAGAAGTCCTGGGTTTTGGATATCCTTTTCAATTCTCCTGATACTCAAATTTCAGTTTCAGTTCTCTGGACAGTCAGTGTGTGAGTTTCTTATCTTCAGTTTGAGAACGCTAAAATCAAACATCCTTTGAAAGAGATCTCAGTTTTGGATGCTTAAAGGACCATGGCCAAAGGGGCCCTCATTCTTGCAGGGGGACTCAAACCCCAGCTCTGTGCAGAGTAACACTCTTACACCTGATGCCAGCCATTGATGTTATACCTTCTCATTAAAATGATTGCAATAGCTGAAAACCTTATCAATTCAGTTAGACTGCAGCAATAACTAATCTTCTCAAAACCCCAAAGGAGAAAGCATTAATATTTGTATTTTAAACACTGGGAAATGGGTTAGCATTGCATCCCTGTATAATTAACTATACCAATATTTTCCACTGAGGTGCTTACAAGGTAATTACATTCATTATTTCCAATTGGATCTTTGCCCAAGTCAGGGATACTGCCTCTGGCCCAAGGGAGAAAAGCTGCAAGAAAGCACATTTTGGTTTTAACCAAGCATGACCTTTAACTGAGCTGCTTGTGAAGCTGAATAAGCCACCAGGGTGAGGTCACTGTGGGAGTCCACCCATTGGGGTCAGATGGTGGGATCAGAGCTCTAACGTAACTCCTTTGCTTTGTGTCACATTGCTGGGCTTGCTTTGGTGGAGGGGAAACAAGGTGTGGCACATCCCACCCTTCGTGACTCAGACACCGGCCAGGGCCAGGCTGTCACCCCACAGTGTGAGAGTGTCACACTGACCAACTCCACCCATGACCAACTCCATCCATCTGACACCCAGAGAGGGTCAGGCTGTCACCCCACAGTGAGAGTGTCACACTGACCAACTCCACCCATGACCAACTGCATCCACCTGACACCCAGACAGGGCCAGGCTGTCACCCCACAGTGAGAGTGTCACACTGACCAACTCCATCTGACACCCGGACAGGTCCAGGCTGTCACCCCACAGTGAGAGTGTCACACTGACCAACTCCACCCCACAGCTGCATCCCCCCAGGTGTACCCAGAGGATCTTGCACCTTTGGGGTCAGGCAGGCTCCTGAGCTCAGAGCAGGTGCCTGACAACCTACACCCCGTATTCAGACAGAGGATTGGTTTCATCTGGACCTCCCCTTGCTTATCTTCATCTGGTCCCCTAATTCATATTCATCTGAGCCCTGTCTGTCTGCTGTAACCTTTTGGCAGGAGAAGCAGTGATGCTGAGCAAGTCAGAGCATCAAAGGAAGGTCGACCATTGACTCACCTCACAGTCCTGTGCACACTGCTGGGCACAGAGGCTTTTGCCAGCTGTGTCCACACATTACACAGATGAGTAAGTTGAGGAAGATTGTACCTTCACTTATTCTGTTCAAGATGAGTTCAGCTTCTGCTAAAGTTGTTTCTTCTCATGCGAACCCTGTGATGGTGCTGTCACATCCTTAGCATCAAACTCTGGAAATGTAGGGGCACCTTGCTGAAAGGCCCACTCATCATCTCCATCATTCTCCATTCAAGAGAGGAGACCACTTGTGCACTCCCACAAGGTTCCCAGGCTGAACCCTCTGGCAGTGTGAGGGTCTCTTGTCAGGGCAGACTGAAGATGAAGCCACCCAGGGAAGGTCAGAACCACCTTTTGCTCCTTTTTCACTTTTTACCCACAGCAGCTGTAAGTAGCCCTTGCATGATCAAATAGAGAATCTCTGTGTGGAAAGCACACTCCATAGGGTATGTCAAACACAGAATAAGTCATCTTTGGTGGGAGAAAGAAGTAATTAAATCTCCTTGGTACTTCTGGCAGAATATTTGTTGAAGCACTTGTTATGCATTGGAATTAGGCTCTTTATGCTTGCAAGTTTTTTTAACCCTCACATAACTCCAGGGGGGTTGCACAAGTGCAATTGCAGACGTAAAGGCAATGTCCTCTTAATGGCTTTCTGGGTTCGCAACAATAAATTAGTTTAGCTTAATTTGCCTTACATTATGTTGTACGGGTTACAAATCTTTTTTTGCAGCTCACTATGATGCCTTAAGTTTTAGCTTTCATATTTTTCAGATTCTGTACTGCATTAGTATATAACTCTGAACTTCATATAAAGTGTTAGCAAGTTCTCTTCACAGTTTAGTCACACAAACCAATCCTTTTCAGCCCAAGAACCAAGGACACCATTACAGCTTCAGGCCCAAAAAGTTTAAACAAGAGCAAATTGAGGAGAGCAATCTGGGAGGATGGGACTTCATAATCTGAAGCTGTAATTGGATAATTAATCCCAATATGTAAATGGACACACTTATAAAAGTGTGAAAGTGTGTGACCCGCTGTCGATCTTGGGTCCATCTTGGGCGCAGCCTCAGCCAGGCTCTTGTACTGCCCAGGGTGTACCTTTGAAGGCCCTTTAATAAATACCTACTTTATTCCCTTAACACTGTCTAGCCTCTGTTCTAGGTAGCCTCTCAAGACATCAAGTAAAGATGTGACACAAACTCCTGCAGTAAAAGAAATAAAAAAAAAATTACTGTAAGGGACTCCACAAGTATATTACTTGAATCACTGTCACTAACAGTAATTCAGTCACAGATTTTATTCCTTGGCTGCAGAACTAGATGATGTTTAAGGTCCTTTCCAACACAAACCACCCTATGTTTCCATGATTCTATGTTTTTAAGTGCTTGATTTGAGTAACCTGATGTAATGGATGGACATTTTCTTCAATGCTACTACAGGAAAGGAACGAGTTGTACTTCCCTCTTCCTTCCTTGAATTTGTCCATTTTTTTGTTGAGAGCAAGTTTTCTTCAGGCTTGCTCCCAGTGGCAGTGGTAAGCCACAGTCTGTGAAAAGCAGCAGACAGGTAAATTCAGTTTTGTGGCCATGCACACTCTGCACAGGACAGACCTCTCCAGTTCTGTCACAGGGGCCATGAAGTGAGAGGTGTATGTGTCAGCAGCGTATCATCCATCCATAACTCAGAAGTTGATACTATTTGGTGTAATAACAGCTGCGGGCATATCTGCATTCCTTACATGATTATCAAACTGCTGCTGAAAGGTGGGGATGTTAGAGGGGGTCAAAGCCCGAGGCACTGATGTGATACCTTACACTGAACTGTAGCTGCAGAGTAAGAACATTACACCGGTGCCTACAGCACCAACTCACTCAGTGTGTACATTTCCCTCCTCCCTTGCCAGTCTGTGTGGGTTTTGTCTGTGTTGCTAAATCTTGCTTTCCAGTAAAGGGGACCAGTGGGTGGGATTTTATGCTAAATGCTTAGTTCCGCTGCTTTTAGGTCATTCATGGGATTCTGCATTCAAAGCTTGCTCTGGCAGGGCTGTAGATATGGATTTGGAAACAAAGAGGGTTTCCTGGTGGGAAATCACCCTCATTTGCATACGAATGTCCCCTGCCCTCCCGGCTGCAGGGAGAGGAGGGTGGTGGCAGTGGGGAGCCCCCAAGGCTTGGGGAGTGCCCAGGGCATGGGGAAGTGGGAAGCAGGATCTGCCAGGAGTCTGCCCTCTGCTCCTAAGCTTTTGTGCAGTGGGGTTTTTATACCACGAATTTTGACCCTGGAGCCCTTGCTCTGTGGGGCTCTTCCCTCTGAGTGCAGCAGCACAAGTCGGGACTGCAGGATCGGGTCCCACTTTGCTGGATTCTCTGGGTCTGATGGCAGCAGCCTGACCCTTCCTGCTGACAGGCAACTTTTTCATCTGGTGAAAACAGCGTGAGTTCTAGATCAGGAGTTTTTCATAACGTGTGTGCAAAGCTAGATGTAGTCACACTACTTGTGTAAACATATAAAAAGAAAAAAATCCAGAGTTTTGTGCTCAAGGTTCTTACAAGAGCATTTGGACACTGTGGCAGGATCTGCCAGGAGTCTGCCCTGGAAGAGCCTTTCCTCTGCTCCTAAGCTTTTGTGCAGTGGGGTTTTTATACCACGAAGTTTGACCCTGGAGCCCTTGCTCTGTGGGGCTCTTCCCTCTGAGTGCAGCAGCACAAGTCGGGACTGCAGGATCGGGTCCCACTTTGCTGGATTCTCTGGGTCTGATGGCAGCAGCCTGACCCTTCCTGCTGACAGGCAACTTTTTCATCTGGTGAAAACAGCGTGAGTTCCAGATCAGGAGTTTTTCATAACGTGTGTGCAAAGCTAGATGTAGTCACACTACTTGTGTAAACATATAAAAAGAAAAAAATCCAGAGTTTTGTGCTCAAGGTTCTTACAAGAGCATTTGGACACTGTGTTTTTGACAAATGATCAGCTTGGAAAATTTTGATGAAAATCATGGCCTGGTGTGCAAGTCTAAGAACACGAGAAAGACAAAGATAGATATGTATCTTTTGGGGGATTTAAACCAACCACCCATGAGTGTCTAAAAGAAACTCCCAAGTTTCTAAATACTGCTTTCTAAAAGTCCTCACAATTAATTTCCATTTTCTCTGACAGTCATCTTGGAGGGACAGTAAAATGTTGGCATCTGGAGGCACAAGGAAACTGGAGGGGAGAGAGCTCATGTCAAGACAGCGTGTACCAACACACCTTCCCACGGCGAGGTGAAGGGCAGGAGGATGGATGTGTGTCTCTTCATGGAAGTGTTCCCAAACAAGGTCTTTCAGCTGGGGAGCTCATTCCTTCTTGATGGTGACAGAACACTTTGCATTGCAGTGATTGCTGCATTTCACTCAAAACACTCCCAGTGATTACTGAAATGAGAGGCTGGAAGAAGACACACAGACACACACACCAGTAAAGTGGTGACAAGGAAAGCAAATTGTAGTAATTATCTTGCAGCCAGGAATTTGGCGAAGGTGTGCCTAATGCCTGAGCTCTGTGCTAACAGCCCTGGCTCCCAGACACCGGTGGCCTCTCCTCTTGGGTGGGCTCAGATTTAACACCATCGTGTGAAATTCAGAGCGACCATTCTCAGCCTACATTCATCCGGGAAGATTTCAGGCTGGAAGAAGGGCTTTGATTCCTAAGGGATTCTCTGGCTTTTCCAGCGGTACCTCTGGGTTTGATACAAAGCCATTCCTCTGCACATTTTTCATCTAAAAATGCTCTTAATTCTTCATCGTGTCAGGGAGGCAGCTAAGTAAGGATGGCAGGCTGTTTCACTTGCACTCTCAGACTGACATTACCGTAGCAGTTGTAATATGTACTCTAAGACATTGGTTTCAGTCACTTTTTACTCTCCTTAGCCTAAGCACGTATTTGAAACATAAGCTTCTGTAATTTTGCATCTCACAAACTAGGCAAAGGAATAAGCCAGACATATTTCTTCCATCTGATCACAAGAAACTAATGACCACAGTCAGGAGTCTGTGCTGGGCCCCTGAGCTGGGTGCAGGTACCTGGCAGGTTTAGGGACCCCCATTTCTCTGCACACCCTGCAGAAATGCCCATGGAAGGAAGGCTTTTTCCTAGCTGATTGCTACCAACACCATGCTGAAGGTGTGCAAATGCTGAGGAAAGCCAGGGCAGCTGCCCTCAGGTAGCTGAGGGTGGGTGTGTTTGGTGCCAGCCTCCTCTTTTTCCCTAGCTGACTGCTACCAACACCATGATGAAGGTGTGTAAATGCTGAGAAGGGCCCAGGGCAGCTGCCCTTGGGTAGCTGAGGGTGGGTGTGTTTGGTGCCAGCCTCCTCAGGGTGGGTGTGTTTGGTGCCAGCCTCCTCCTGCAAGGGGACACACTGTCACTAAGGGCTGGGGGGCTGGTGCACAGTCACCTTGCAGGGAGACAGTCTCCCTAATACCATATAGCAGACAAATTGTAAGTAATGCGTTGATTCACTCTGCTGGTGATGTTAATCTTCTGAACCCTTTGTTAAATTTTGGGATTATACTGCTTTGTCTCAGAAGGTCAGTTTATCAGCAGAGTCATTCCATGCCAGCATGATTTTTGTTGCACTGGTAAAATCCTCGTGTGATTTGGGGGCAAGGTTTCCCTTTTGCAGGTTACTTCACTCCAAACGGGACTGTGCTGTGGCAAACTCTGCTGGCAGGATGAGGACATGAGGCTGGAAACAGCAGCACGCTCCACAGGCAGCAGCCGGCGGCTGGCATTGAACTGGAGACGCAGCTCAAGCTGCCGTGGCTGAAATGTCACTGCAAAAGTTTCTTGTTTCTCCTTTTGCTCCTTTGATCCGTGTAAAGATCAAGTTTCAGGGGAAAATCAGCCAGGACAAGCCGCAGAGGGCTAGAATTACAGCATATGAAGCAGCAGGGCCAGATGAGATCGCTTTCAGGCTGCAGCCAGTCCTTACTCAACTGAAGGCAGAGCCCAGGACTGAGGGAGGGGCACGTCGGCTGCTCTTATTGTTATAGATACAGATGTTTAAAATTAAAAACAATTGTTTATTAGGCATTCCCAAATGACTATTTCATAAAGCAGTCACACACTGGTTTCAGAACTTGCGGCTCTTCCACTAACAGACTGTGTTGTTAAGTCTGTGCATGAATGGTTTTAAAAAACCCAAGAAAAATATGCATCTTACGTGTTAAATTTGCAAGCCAATCCAGTGGCTGTGCTTTAAAAGTTGACGAAGGAAGAAAAGCAATCCAGAAGGTGCTCACATGCCAAAATTTGTTGCATTTTTGGATGAAATGAGCAGGGGAGACCAATGGGCCCTTCCAGCCCTGGTTGGTGGGCTGGCCATGCCTTACCCTTGGCATCACTGCTGGGTGGCACTGAGCAGCACTGTGTGCTCTGTGGGTGAACTGGGGCTGTACCCAGCCTTCAGTCACCAGCTTCTCAAACCTACTGCCCTTACACTGAAGCAACTTCAAGTAAAGGTTAAATGTAGACTGCTTCCCTGTCCAGAAGCATTTGTTGGGCAGTGTATTCCTTTGAGGCTTTCTGGGTGAAAGAACTGGCAAATAGGGTTATCAAGGTGTCTCACAACACTGTGGATAGCACAGATGGGGGACATTTTTGTGAATAAAAGCTAGGTCTGCAAAACCATGTGCACATAGTTATATTGATGGGATTTTGTCCATAATACTGTCAGGATTTAAATTTTCCAGAATTTGTGGCTTTGATAAATGTCCTGCAGAATTTCCTGATGTCTCTCATGAAGCTCTTCAGCCTTTTTTAATAAAACAACTCCAATTAGACAATTTCTGTTGTGCTTGAAAATAATGCTATAAAAATCACTATTAGCAAGGAAAAAAAGCACGGGGGAAAATAACCCCCAACAAAACAATCAACCAAAAAACCCCAAACCCAAAATCCAGGATTAGAAGTTCTCTCACAGTGTGACAGGCATCATGCCAGCACTCAGTCACACTGTCTGGGCTACTCTAGGAACAATTCCCAGCAAGCTGAGTCCCTTGGCTAAAGGTTGTAGATCCTAGAAAGTAGCAGTCTAGCTTTTTCTGATGATGCTAAATTTGCCGTGGGGTTTGTTAACCCCTTCTTTTCCCTGTGAGCCAAAGCCCTTTCCCCCAGAGGTGGGGCTGTGTCCGAGGGGAGCAGAGCACTGGAAGGCAAAGCTCAGCCCATGGTGGGAGCCAGGATTGTTGTTTGTCTTTTTCTTTGCTGTGTGTGTTATTTGTCACCAAGCAGAGGTTTGATCAAACAGAAGCTGCCTGTGAATTCAGAAGAAATTAATGCCAGTGATTTTCCTGGACTAATGTCAGTGTTAGCCCAGCAATAACTAGGGGACCTCCCGAGGTCCTTCCAACCTAAATTACACTGGTTCTGTACATCAAAGCTTAGCTGTCACTCACCAAGTTGGGAAGAGGTCAAACTCACGTTTCACATGTTATTTCCTGAGCAGACCTGTGTTTTGTGGTCTCCCTTCTTTGAGGGACAGCTTGGATGTCTCATGACTGTCCTACCCACTACTGCAGCTTTCACAGGTACTCACCAAGCCTGCATGATCAAAACTGACCTCTTTCCATCCTGCTGAACTCTGAGGGCATTTATTTAAATTGAGGGATAATGAGAGAGTTTCACAGGTCTGACAAGGACCAGAGTATCCTGTCCTCACCCCCACAGGACAGGAGATGAGTGAACTGAGGTGCTCGTGCAGAGGAGAGGACCTTCTCCAAGCTTGCTCTGTCCAGTGACAGGGCTGTTCCTGTGCTGTGGCTGTGCCCTGCCCTGGGAGGGTCCTCACTGACCTTTAGGGTTTGAGACTCCATGGTTTGTGGTCTTGCACCTATTTCTGTGCAGCTTTGTGCAGCTCGAAAACTGAGGTGTGCTCGCAATGCTTTTGTCTCCCAGATGGCAGCCAAGCACCCAGGGGAACTTCACTTGATTTCTGCTTTGCCATGCAGTTCTGATTTCTGGGTGTGAAAGTGCAGTGCTGGCAGCACCCCAGTTGTCACTGGGATGGACAGAGATCCCTGTGCTCCACCTGTGCTCCTGCTCCAGTGCTGCCCCCTTTGGCAGGACAAGATCAGATGGGATATCAGCCATGCAGCAGACACAGAGGTCAGGATTCTCCCCAGCTCACCCACCAAGCCACTGGGCACCTCAGCCTGGAAGCTCCTCCCCAGCCACAGTGGACCCTGCTGTCCCTGGCATTGTCCCTTGGCATGGGCATTTGCAGCTGCACTGAGAGCCCTGCTCCTTGCTGCAGACCTCACCTGGACCCAGACCTGTGTGCTCTCTCCACCCAGGGCATGCTAATTCCCTGTGATTGTCCCTTATTATCCAATTCTCTCTGGAAGTCCATCAGATTTTGGGTTTATTCCTCTCCTGACCTCTACTTCTGGCATCAGAGAGCTGCTCTGAGCATCACCTCCTTGCACTTGAAATCTGATCTCCAGCCTGTTTGTTGCTAATAGATGCTCATTTATTAATATGCCAAGATTAATGGACCTTTTCCGTGGTATAGGAAAACCATATTGCTACATTACTGAATACAGGTCTTTCCTGTCTGCACAAACTGTGAGGAGCTGTTGAATCAAAACAGTTCCTAAATGGGAAGCATTTAAGCCTCTGTGCTGAGAAGGTTGTGTTTGTTGCTAGGATTCACATCTTGCTTGTGCATTTCCCAGTCATTCCTGTCTGCCCATGACTGTTGTTCCTCATTCCACTCTTCATAAATGAGTCTGACATTTTTAGAAAGAAGGTAAATGTCCTCTGTCTTGGCAAGCACCAGAGTTTTGGTCCTTTCCTAAAAGTTCTTAGAAGAACTGGAGTCTGGTGAATGCTCCCATCTTTACAGATGGAAATTTTTCATCTGAACTTCTCCTATGGAGAGGTTTCAGTCCCTGTTTTTCTCTTGGACATCACTAGAGGAGATTCATGGTTCCTGTGATGCAGCAGCACATGCCCAACATTTCCCTGTGTATGCATGAGCAAGAACTATTAATTTTGAGTATTACCTCCAGCCTTTCTTTGGCTTCACGTGGAACCCTCCTGCCTGTGCTTGCTGAATCTTTTGTCATGGGGAACAGTGCAGACACAAATATAGCACACTCCACTCCCCCACCCCTCTGCTCAGACGTGGTTTTGGGGGACAGCTGAGGAGCTGCAGGCTGTCCCCATGGCACACAGGGACATGTGCAGGGCAGGATACAGCCCTGGGGAACACAACCCCAGGGCTCCTGTGAGCAGCTCCGTGTCCATCTCAGGGTGCAGCACAGTCCTGAGCCCCTTCCAGCACCTGCCCCTGGCTGAACGCCTCTGGCCAGCAGCAGCACCAAACCTGCAGTGGGGAAGGTGACAGGGAGCTGAGCCACTGACAGCTCTCACACTCACCCATT